AAAGTCATGAGATTGGGGGAAGGGCAAAGAAAGACCGCAGCACAATATGTTTAGTGGCCAAATCTGCAAACTCACTCAAGGAAAAAAATCTGGGGGTGGTTAACCCGGCATATCTCTGAGGCGCACATCAATCATAACTGCTGCGCATACGGGGCCTGGCAAACCTACGGTTGGTTCCGACCTCAGAAAGGAGCGTTAAAGATCTGTATACCATTTTCGCAGGCCATACTGGGGTAGCGCACCAGTTTTTGGGAAACCAACCTAGTCAAGCACGTCAAGAAAAATTTGAGAAAATGCAAAGGGTTTCAACAAGACTTCCCAAGCTACGGGGATTGTCCTACAAAAAGGTTGAGGGGAAAAGGGTACGCCTGGAGGGCCCGGGGGGGTCGGGGGGACATGTAAAGCAAAAAAATTTCTGGCGGGAAAAGACAGGTGGACAAAAAACGGGTGTTCCAGGATGGGACACAACAAAGAGGGTCCAATTGGGAATTTAAGACTCAGATTGAATCAAGGGATGTTAGGAATATTTCTTTAGTCATGATAAATCAGGCCATGGAATAGCCTGGGTTTGGGGGTAGAGGGGAGGAACCATACATAGTTTTAAAGGGGAGGTATGATAAAGTCAGGAGCAGGAAGGAGGCCTAGTAGCAATCGTGAAGGGCGGGCCAGGGCTATTCGGACCCCTGCAACCCAAAAAGGGGTACAAATAGGGGGTACAAAACAACGTGTTGCTAACAAAGGGCCTCACAGCAAGGTACTATGTAAGAAGAGGGGGCTCACAGCAAGGGATAGTGTAAGAAGAGGGCCCACAGCAAGGTATAGTGGGGGGGGGGGGGGGGGGGGGGGGGGGGGGGGGGGGGGGGGGGGGGAGGAAGTGTAAGAGGGTCTCACAGAAGGTCGTTAAAGGGGCTCACAGCAAGGGTTTGTGTAAGAGGGGGCTACAGCAAGGTAAAAGTGTAAAAAGGGTCTCACAAACAAGGACTAGTTAAAAGAGGGTTCACACAGGTTAAATGAGAAAAGGGCTCACAGCAAGGTATAGTGGGAAAAACGGGTTTAAAACAAGGTACAGTGTAAGAGGGCTCACAGAAGGTATTTTGAAAAAAGGGCTCACGCAAGGGTTTGTTAAAGAAGAGGGCTAAGCAAGGTACTAGGTAAAAAGGGTCCACAGCAAGGTATGTGTAAAAAAAGGGGTTTACGAAGGATAGTTAGAAGAGGGGTTTACAGCAAGGGTTAAGTAAAAAAGAGGTCTCACAGCAAGGTATATGTAAGAAAAGGGTCTAAGAAAGGTCTGTGGGAAGAAAGGGCCCACACAAGGACTAGGTTTAAAAAGAGGGTCTCACAGCAAGGTACTGTGTAAGAAGGGGTCTCACAGAAGGTAAAGGTAAAAGAGGGCTCACAGAAAAATACTAGGTAAAAAGGGGGTTTACCAAAGGGATAGTGAAGGGAAGAGGGTCCACAACAAGGTTCTAGTGTAAAGGGGTCCCGCAAGGTACAGTGTAAGAGGGCTCACAGCAGGTATAGTTAAGAAGAGGGCCTCACAGCAAGGTACTAGTGTAAGAGGGTCTCACAGCAAGGTACTAGTGTAAGAAGAGGGTCTCACAGCAAGGTACTAGTGTAAGAAGAGGGTCTCACAGCAAGGTACTAGTGTAAGAAGAGGGTCTCACAGCAAGGTACTAGTGTAAGAAGAGGGTCTCACAGCAAGGTACTAGTGTAAGAAGGTCTCACAGCAAGGTACTAGTGTAAGAGGGTCTCACAGCAAGGTACTAGTGTAAGAAGAGGGTCTCACAGCAAGGTACTAGTGTAAGAGGGCCTCACAGCAAGGTACTAGTGTAAGAAGAGGGCCTCACAGCAAGGTACTAGTGTAAGAAGAGGGTCTCACAGCAAGGTACTAGTGTAAGAGAGGCCTCACAGCAAGGTACTAGTGTAAGAGGGTCTCACAGCAAGGTACTAGTGTAAGAAGAGGGCCTCACAGCAAGGTACTAGTGTAAGAAGAGGGTCTCACAGCAAGGTACTAGTGTAAGAGGGTCTCACAGCAAGGTACTAGTGTAAGAGGGCCTCACAGCAAGGTACTAGTGTAAGAGGGCCTCACAGCAAGGTACTAGTGTAAGAGGGTCTCACAGCAAGGTACTAGTGTAAGAGGGTCTCACAGCAAGGTACTAATGTATGAAGGCCTCACATCAAGGTACTAGTTAAGAGGGCATCACAGCAAGGTACCTAGTGTAAGGCCTCACAGCAAGGTACTAGTGTAAAGGGCCTCACAGCCAGGTAACGACTAGTGTAAGAGGGCCTCACACAGGTATTATGTAAAAGAGGGCCTCACAGCAAGGTACGTACTAGTGAAAGAAGAGGCCTCACAGCAAGGTACTTCAGTGTCAAGAGGCTTAACAGCAAGTACGAGTGTAAAGAGGACAGAGGGCCGCACAGCAAGGTACTAGTGTAAAGTGCCTTACATCAAGGAACTAGTGTAACAAGAGGGTCTCACAGAGCAAGGTACGATGTAAGACAGGGTCTCACAGCAAGGGACTAGTGTAAAAGAGGGTCTCACAGCAAGTACTATGTAAAGAAGGGTCGCACACGCAAGGTAAGTGTGTAAAAGAAGGAGGGTCCACTGCAAGGTACTAGTGAAGAAAGGTCCCTCACAGCAAGGTACTAGTGTAAGAAGAGGGTCTCACAGCAAGGTATAGTGTTAGAAAAGGCTACAGCATGGTACTATGTAAGAAGAGGGCCGCACAGAAAGGTACTAGTGGGTAAGAAGAGGGCCGCCCAGCAAGGTACTTAGTGGGAAAGAGGGTCCTCACAGCAAGGTACGAGTTAAGAAGAGGCCTCCCCAGCAACGGTACTATGTAAGAAGAGGGCCTCACAGCAAGGACTAGTGTACGAAGAGAGCCCTCCCAGCAAGGTACAGGTTAAGAGAGCTTTCACAGCAAGGTACTAGTGTAAGACAGCGTCTCAACAGCAAGGTAACTAGGGGAAAGGCCCTCACAGCAAGTACTAGTGTATGAGGGGCCTACAAGTCAAGGTGTTAGTGTAAGAAGAGGGCCTCACAGCAAGTACTAGTGTAAGAGGCGTCACAGCAAGGTACTAGTGTAAAGGCCCACAGCAAGGTACTAGTGTAAGAGGGCCTCACAGCAAGGTACTAGTGTAAGAAGAACCCACAGCAAGGGACTAGTGTAGAAAGAGGCCTCACAGTCAAGTACTAGTGTAAGAAGAGGCCTCACGCAAGGGACCTAGGTGTAAAGAAGAGGGCCTCACAGCAAGGTACATGTAAGAAGAAGGGTCTCACAGCAAGTACTATGTAAAGAGGGCTTCACACCAAAGGTACAAACCCTAAATACTAATGGGGCTAGATGCATACCCAGCATATCATTTTGGTTCCTCTTGAAAAAAACACCTTAGGTCAAGGAGTGTGTCACTGAAACGGTGAACCACATGAGTGAACGGTCAAGATAACGTGGTAAGGGTCCCAGGGCAAGGACCAGTCCATACCTCTTTCCCGTGGTGAGTAAGGCTGGCTGATAGGCCCCAGGATAGAGAAGTTCGTTTGAAACAGAACAAGTGCTTCTGACGCGGGGGCTTAGATGATGACCCACAGCTGAGGCCGTACGCTGGCTGAACACTCCAGTCATCTTGTGTAATGGTTTTGCTGATAATCCCTGGTACATAGCTGAATAACAAGCCGTGACTGCCGACCCACCCCACTGCTCCTCACTATAATACCCTCCCCACCCACAACAACCCTCCACCCACCCACAATAACACCCTCCCCCAACCCACTATAAACCCCTCCCCCACCCACTGTAACACCCCTCATCCCCACCCACAAACACCCTCCCCCACCCACATAACACCCTCCCCCACCCACAATACTACCCCCACACCGAACACACCTTCCACAATACCACCCTCCCCACCCACAACACCGTCCCCCTCCACAAGAACACCCCACCCACAACACCATCCCCCACCCACATAAAACAACCCCTCCCCACCACAATAACACCCTCCCCCACCCACACCAACCGGCCCCCCACCCACAATTACACTCCACCAACAACACCCGCCCCCACTCACAGTAACCTCTCACCCACAATAACACCCTCTCCCCCCACAACACCCCCCCACCCAAAACACCCGCCCCACCCACAACACCCTCCCTCCCCCCACTCACAATAACAGCTCAACCCACAATAACACCCTCTCCCACCCCACAACACCCCCACCCCCAACCACCCTCCCCCCACACCACAATAACTGCTCACCCACAATATCACCCTCTCCCCACCCACCATTACACCTCCCCCCCCACCACTACACGGTATACAAGGGTGGAGGAACTTCATTTCATTACTCCTAAAAATTCTAAACATACCCCTGCCCACCGTCCCCTACCCTCCAGAGGTGGGTAATAAAAGCAAGTACCCGGGCGTCTTCGGCAGTACCCTTGGTAATCCGCCAGGAGAGGAGGGGATCAAGCATCCTCCCCTTGTACCCAGTTTTTAGAGGAGGGGGAGGCGTCGCCCCCACCCACCCTTGAGGTTGCTCCCACACAGTGCCAATGTACTGTCGGTGGACCCTGTGGGGGGCCCTGGGGGCCCCCGGGTACCTTGGGGCAGGAATGTCCCCTACCCCACGATCATGGGGAGGGGGGAACCCCCAACCCACGTCTTGGGGGCTGGGGTGACCCCTAACCCACCGCCTTGGGGGAAGGGGTACCCCTACCCACGTCTTTGGAGGGAGGGGGTGACCCCTACCCCCGTCTTGGAGGAGGGTGGACCCCCACCCCGTCCTTGGAGGAGGGGTGACCCACCCACTTCGTGGAGGAGGGGTGACCCCGACACCACTCTTGAGGAGGGTGACCCCTCCCACGTCCTGGGGAGGGGTGACCCCCACCCCACCCAGTGGGGGAACCACAACAACTACACCTCTTCTAACCAGTCAGGGGTGAGTACCTGTCACTTGACACTGGTCAAGTGTGACACCTATCAATATGTGACACCGGCATGTGTGACGGCTGTCAAGTGTGTTAGACACCTGTCAAGTGTGTGTGATGACTGTCAAGTGTGTGTGACAGCTGTCAAGTGTAACTGACACCTTAAGTGTGTTGACACCAGTCAAGTGTGTTTGACAAGTGTGTGTGACACCTGTCAAGTGTGTGACAACACTAGTACTACCACTACCACACTACCACTAGTACCATCACTTGTACTACCACCACTAGTACTACCACCACTAGTACTACCACCACTAGTACTACCACCACTAACCATCACTATCTCCACTAGGACCTACCAACTAGTTACCACCACTACCAGTAACTTGTGTGCGTCATTCCAGCAGAAGGAGGTGTTGCCCCTAGGCGGTGGAGGGGGGGGTTGGGTTACGTGTGGTGGGATGTGGGTAGAGGGGGTAGAACCCTGAGTGGGGCTCATTCACAACAATTCCAGTCAACTGAAGGTTCACACTCAGAGCTGTGACTCGACCCCTGCAACTACAAATAAGTACACACACACACACAACACACAACAGATCCATACATACCTTTAAGAAGAGGTATGATAAAGCTCATGGAGCAGGGAGAGAGTGGACCTAGTAGCCACCAGTGAAGAGGTGGGGCCAGGAGCTGTGAATCTACCCCTGCAACCACAATTAGGTGAGTACAATTAACAGATGCTGGAAGCAACAACCTGGTTGTACTATGGGTACTATAATGGGCAATACCACCATTACCACTATCTACCATCTACCGCCATCACTACCACCACTACAACTACTATCTACCATCATCTACTATCATTATCTACCATTACTACCACTGCCAATCACTGTCTATCGTCTACCACTACTAACCACCATCTACCCCCCCCCTCTCCCCTCCAGCAATACCCATTCACTTTTCTTGCTACGAGTGTTCCTGTTTACCTTCACCTCAACCCCCCCTAACCCCTCCTCTCCACACCCCCTACTATCCACCCCCTCCCTCTACCCATCCCCACCTCCCCCTACCTATCCCCCCTCTCCCTCCATCGCACATTCCTCCTGGTATATCTACAAGAGAATACATTACTTGTACAATAGTAGTAATTCTATTAGTTGAGTAGTACTATTAGTTGAGTAGTAGTACTATTAGTTGATGTAGTTATTAGTAGTATATAGTAGTGTTGTGAGGTTTGGGGTTCCCACATAACGGTGCAGTGGAGAGATGCACAACTACTCTGGACATCATTTATTGCTGGAAAATGATGTCATCTGGGAGACTAACCTAATCTTTTCACTTCAACTAGACACCTGCAACCTCACCAGCCATCCCTGGAACCAGCAAGCTGGAGGTTTGACCTGGAGGTCAACATCAGAGACCCCTAAGACTCTTAGGACAACATTCTATTGACAGCTCCGGTCATGCTACATGCGGACATCCTCTTCGTACAATATAAATTGACTGGTAGACGCAAGTTTTGAATCTTGGGGCATGATTCTATACATTAAATAGAATGCTATTCAATAGAGAAACATATGCTCTTAGACTGTACTGAAAGCATAATAGATTTTAGTGAATCGTAACAGGAATTTGAGATCGATCAGTATTCAGGTGATCTGTGAGTTCTGGGATTAATAACCTATCAGGCGAGGGAGAACTTGGTACAGACAAGTCATGTGTTATAATCCAGAACAAGTAGTGGACGTGAATAATATGTGCAGTAGAAACTGACCCACACACTGATGACAACGAATAACAAAAACTGAAGATGGTGCGATAATAAAATATCTTTGTGTACACCCCAACTCTGCCTAGGCAGTGTTTATGTGATCTAGGGAAGGGGTCATAGTGGCTGACACTTGTGACTGAGAGGAGTCAACTTTGGTGACACTGGCTGACACGTGGGGTGCGATCACCTGTGGTGACCACGAGGAGTAGCAGCAGTCAGGACCCGTGTCAGGTTGTTAGAAGTAGAGGATACTGTTCAGAAGGATAGTTAACCTCTAAATGCAACGCCTTGTACTGACCACTGTTCATTTCTCCAACCTTGTACTCATTACCACTCACAGTATCGTATGCCCCATGGCCTGGTGGCAAATGCTCTTGCTTCACACGGAGAGTGTCCGGGTTCGATTCCCAGTGGAGGGGTTGAAACACTGGATGTGTTTCCTTACACAGGATGTCTGTGTTCATCAGTAAAATGGGTACCTGGGTGTTAGTGGACTGGTGTGGGTCGCATCCTGGGACACAACTGACCTAATTTGCGGGAAATGCCCTGCATAAGAAAGGGCTTTTTATATAGTAGTATGCCAAAGGAAATATAAACACATATGCAGTATAATGCGATCCTTTATTGACAACGTTTCGCCCACACAGTGAGCTTTTCAAGTCACAAACAGATCTGTTTGTGACTTGGAAAAGCCCACTGTGTTGGGCGAAACGTTGTCAATAAAGGATCACACTATACTGCATATGTGTCATCAGCGAATTTGCTCATATCACTAGTAATTCCCTCATCAAGATCATTGATATATATTATAAACAACAACGGGCCCAAGACTGATCCCTGTGGAACGCCACTTGTTACTGATCCCCACTCGGATTTAACCCCATTTATGGACACTCTTTGCTTCCTGTCTGTGAGCCATGATTCGATCCACGAGAGCACCCTTCCCCCAATGCCATGAGCTGCTACTTTCTTCAACAGTCTTTGGTGCAGAACTCTGTCAAATGCCTTACTAAAATCTAAGTAAATAATATAAAATTTCTTTATCGTGGTCAAAAGCCTAAAAAACCTTTACTGAAGAAATTTAATAAATTAGTTAGACAAGACCGGCCTCTTGTGAATCCATGCTGAGTATCATTAATCAAGCTATGCTTATCGAGATGGCTTCTTATAATCTGAGCTATAATTGACTTTTAGTAATTTGCCTACAATTGAGGTCAGGCTTATTGGCGGTAATTTTGACGGTAACTTGCCCCCTGTTTTAAAATGGGAAATTACATTAGCCATCTTCCACATACAGACACTACACCTGTTTGAAGAGATAAAATTAAAAATATTATTTTAATGGTTCACAACTTCCATTTTGCATTCCTTTAGAACCCTTGAAAAAAAACCCCATCAGGACCCGGTGGGCTTATTTTGCTTCAGTCGGTCTATCTGCTTCACAACCATTTCACTAGTGACTGTGATTTACATAATTTACTTCTGGCCCACTATAAAAATAAATTACCGGAATAAAATTTTAGTGTCTTCCTGTGTAAAAACCGAGAGAAAATAATTATTTAAAATCGAGCACATTTCATTCTCTTTGTCAGTAAGATGCCCATAGTTATTTTAAGGGGACCTATCTTATCTCTGACTTTTGTTTTATATACCTGGAAAAAACTTTTTGGGTTTGTTTTAGAATCCCCAGCAACTTCATTTCATAGTCCCTTTAGCTTTCTTATCCCCTTTTTAATGTCCCTCTTAATGTCAATATACTGATTTTATAAGATGACCCTCCCCCCCTCTTTTGATACGCCTATAAATTCCTTTCTTATGCCCTAGTAGATATTTGAGCCTATTATTCATCCATTTTGGGTCATTTTATTTGACTAATTTCTTTATAAGGGATAAACGTTCTTTGAGCAGCCCTGTATTGTGTTCAGAAAACTGTCATACTGATAGCTCTCTTCGTTACCCTCAGTCAACAGATGATAAGTGTTCTCTAAGCCCATCGTAATCTGCTAAGCGAAAAACTGGGACTGTTACTGAGTTATCCCTACTATCATACTTCCATTCAATCTAAATGTAATTGATTTTGGTCGCTAGCACCCAGTTCCTCTGAAACTTCTAAATTATTAAAAGGGATTCATTTTTTGCCAGAACAAAGTCAAGCAGGTTATTACCCTTGAGGTTCGCACAAACTGCTTCAAAAAACAACCCTGAACTCTTCAAAGAAGTCTATGATTCAAAAATTCCCAGTAAAAGAAATTCCAATAAATATGAAAAATTTAAAAGTCTCCTAGTTTACTACATTACGTGCCTTGTCCCCCTAACAATTTCCCCCCCTAGAGTCTCCCGGTCCTATCAAAATTTTGGGGACGGTTATTTCACCCTAAAATTAATTTCATCCCCCTCTGAAAATTTACCCAAAACAGACCTGTATGTGTTACTTCAGACTTAATACCCTTTTTATGAAACAGTTAAAGCGATCTCGGACATACAGTGCACCCCCCCCCCCTTCCCGATACTTCTATCTACGGGAACAATTTAAAACCCGAATGTAAATTTCGCAGGCATGTCCCGATTTTGAATTAAAAACCACTCTCGTAATGGAAAATACTTTTTTATTTTTTCCTCCTGGGAACTAGTCTCAACTCGCCCTTTTATTCCAGCACTGCGACTTTTGTGTAAAAAATACAAAACCCCCTCCTCTCTCTTTACCCTTCCGTTTTCTTTCTTTATTCCACTAACCTTTTACGTCCTTGTCAATTATGCCATGGCTTTCCAATACCACCTTTTTTGCCTATTCTTGTTCTCCAGTACCATTTTAATACCCCGAGACTTCACAGTTTTCCCGCAAAAACCCTACCCTAACTATTCCTGTTTAAAGACCCCCAACACTCCCCCACTGCGTTGGCCAGTCTCCCACCCCACACCCGATAATGAACCCCACCCCGGCATACTGTCATTTCTGCCATAGAAGAGTTTCCGTTGTCAATAATGTTACCGCATTTTCCTTACAGTTTTGTCCAGCAAGCAATTGACACCAAAAGCTTGGGCAAACCATTCTTTTTCCCAACTCCCCTCCCTTTGGGAAAATGCCCATATGACAGGTTTCCCCCCCTTCCCCTAAATTTTCTCTATTGCTGACCTAAACGCTAATCAGGTCCCAACCCCACGTCTGCCAACATCGTTCCTCCACACTGACACAGATAATAGGATTGCTCCCATTTTCCTCTCATGATGTCATCCAACAGCTAAAATATCCTTTATCCCAGGCCCCCGGAAAAAAAACCTCCTGCCCCCACTCCTATCCTTTAAGCAAAGCCCAT